GCGCCCCCCCCAAGCCACCCCGCCCACGAGCGTCTCCCCTGAGCCAACACGTGCACGAGCGTCTCCCCAGAGCCAACACGCACACGAGCGTCTCCCCTGAGCCAACGCGCGCACGAGCGTCTCCCCAGAGCCAACACGCGCACGAGCGTCTCCCCCGAGGCAACACGCACACGAGCGTCTCCCCTGAGCCAACACGTGCACGAGCGTCTCCCCAGAGCCAACACGCGCACGAGCGTCTCCCCCGAGGCAACACGCACACGAGCGTCTCCCCTGAGCCAACACGTGCACGAGCGTCTCCCCAGAGCCAACACGCGCACGAGCGTCTCCCCCGAGGCAACACGCACACGAGCGTCTCCCCTGAGCCAACACGTGCACGAGCGTCTCCCCAGAGCCAACACGCGCACGAGCGTCTCCCCCGAGGCAACACGCACACGAGCGTCTCCCCTGAGCCAACACGTGCACGAGCGTCTCCCCAGAGCCAACACGCGCACGAGCGTCTCCCCCGAGGCAACACGCACACGAGCGTCTCCCCTGAGCCAACACGTGCACGAGCGTCTCCCCAGAGCCAACACGCGCACGAGCGTCTCCCCCGAGGCAACACGCACACGAGCGTCTCCCCTGAGCCAACACGTGCACGAGCGTCTCCCCAGAGCCAACACGCGCACGAGCGTCTCCCCCGAGGCAACACGCACACGAGCGTCTCCCCTGAGCCAACACGTGCACGAGCGTCTCCCCAGAGCCAACACGCGCACGAGCGTCTCCCCCGAGGCAACACGCACACGAGCGTCTCCCCTGAGCCAACACGTGCACGAGCGTCTCCCCAGAGCCAACACGCGCACGAGCGTCTCCCCCGAGGCAACACGCACACGAGCGTCTCCCCTGAGCCAACACGTGCACGAGCGTCTCCCCAGAGCCAACACGCGCACGAGCGTCTCCCCCGAGGCAACACGCACACGAGCGTCTCCCCTGAGCCAACACGTGCACGAGCGTCTCCCCAGAGCCAACACGCGCACGAGCGTCTCCCCCGAGCCAACACGCGCACGAGCGTCTTGGCCGAGCCAACGTGCACACGAGCGTCTCCCCCGAGCCAACGCGCGCACGAGCGTCTCCCCCGAGCCAACGTGCACATGAGCGTCTTGCCCGAGCCAACACACTTGCAAACGCTTTCCCTGGCCGTGTTGCATGCACCGTGCTCCCGCGGCTCCTAGCACAGCTCCGGGGCTGCGGGACACGTGGGGGGCTCTCTCCCCGGGAGGTGTCGCTTGGCCCCACGGCTCCCCAGCCTCAGGGCGTCCCGCCGACCCGCCAGCCCCTCCCCGTTCCCCGGGGCATCGCGTGGGCCCG